TGAGTGAAGGGTCCTCACCCACACCGATGTCCACCAAGGTGTCCTTCCATGGAACGCCTCCAAACCACCAATTAGAGGGAGGATGAGAATATGAATGTGAAGAGGGGACGGTGGACATCAGATTTCGGTGGTGATTCATGTCCACCAACACTTTTGAGGTGGTTCCATGTCAAAATTCATAGCCAAATAAGCGACCAAAACAAGGTCGCCTCTTTTTCCAGGGCCACTGGAGGATATTCATCACCAACTGGTTTTGTCTGGAGCAATCCTCGCAGAAGGAAAACAACCACAAGCGCATGGGCGTTTTTTTTCCCCTTCAGATTGAAGGAACACCTGGCACCGGGAGGCAGGTCGCACCGAACACCCAGTGGTTCTGATGTTCGGAAGCCTTGATTATCTGAGCCGGAAGCTAAGGTGAGAGATTTCCTAGTTTGATCAAGAGAGGGGCGTCCCTCCCATGTTTTATATTTCGGGCAACAACTCTTTGCTTCCGATCAAATGTTGCATCAAGTTCGACCTGGTGTCGGCCAACTAGGAGAAAACTCTTATGGTTGTGAAATTCCACTTCCAAAGATGGATGACCATCCTACCCCAAGTGTGCCTCGGTGTTTTTCACCGAGGCCAATATGAGAACCGCCTCGAGTTGTGGCGGTTTTGCGGGATCGGGGCAGCCTGCGCCTTGAGGATCCTCAATGGCGAGCCTGTGGTTCTAGATGAGCTCCTCGGCATCTCTCGCTTGCAGGCGAGCGAGAGCGTGCTCCCCCCCCCCCCGCCCTCGGAGAAAATATACAATACCAAAAAAACAGCGCTTATACAAGCAGTATCTACCCAGAAACGTGGGTTGGGCAGCACCCTTGTCCCAAAGGGCAAACCATTGCATAGCCCAGATGTACCGCTCATATTATGCTCCTTATCCTTTATACACCCCCTCATACACCGCTTATTTACCTCGCACATACTCGTTTTGTACCCCTTGTATTTGTTTTACAGACCCCTTGTACAGCCTGTATATCTCAGCCATCCTCGCATAGCTCAAACGCCTGAGTTGGGTGGGGAGGGGGGGAGGGAGGTTTCTGGGTGGCTCACATGAGTATGATTGAAGTTGGGCAAGGGGTTGGAGGCTCATGGCTGGGGTGTGGCTGCCTTGGCTTTGGGCTTCGGGGGAAGTTGCGTTGCTGATCTTGGTGCTGCCGGCGCCCCCAACACGAAGAACTCCGAGACATGGCACGGGCGCTGGGCTTGCTTGAGGATGACAGAAGATGCCTAGTTTTTTCGGCGCAGTCGAAATTTGTTGGCAACGGGTTTGTAGGGCAATGGGTGTGCATACCAGAAGGACCGCCCACGTGGGACAGCAACGAACTTGGGAAACACTGGGACTAGCTGACGCGCCGTGTTCGCTTCTACAGCATACGCGCTCCATACGTCGTGTGTGTGCCCCAAGCAGCACAAATGGGCAGACGTCCTCTGGCGTCGTGCGGCTTTCGGCAAGGGCCAGCGTGCTTGCCCTCTGGGTGAGGTCATGCAGCGTGGTGGCCCGGCCTCTGCCAGTGTCCGCGACCAGTTGCTTGCCATGAGCCGTCTCCCGCTTGGAGGGCGTGCCTTCTTTCTGGAGCCCTTCCTGCAGTTTGGCGCATGGCGCCCGGCCGGTGCTCGTCTTGTGGACTCAGACGGCTGGAGCTTCGCCTCGGTGCTGATGGCTCAGCCGATCTCCTGGGCCCTGAGCTCCGGCCTGCTGGCCTCTGGGAAGTCTTTTTCCCCTGAAAGGTTTCTCCGAGTCGATGCTATGGGTTTGCCTTACTGCCCTCTGGAGCCAGCGGAACACCAAGTTTCCTGCGTCCCCAAGGGCTCATGGCTACAAGCGGCGTCGGTCCGGCTCAGGGTTGCGCCGCCCTCTTGCCGTTGACGCCCTGCGCGCTCCCACGGCCCCAAGCGTCCCTTTGCGCCGCACCCCCATTCACCTTCACCGTCACGCACAACTGCGGCCCTGTTCATACGTCGGAGGTGTGTTGGGTCGTTGATGTCCCTCCCAAGCCGACTGTGCCGGAGCCGCCAAAAGGTGACGGAGGGGGTCAGGAGTGGAACAGGACCATGGATGCGGCAGGGGGAGATTTCAGAAACTGGAAAAGTTGAAGGCTCGTGCCAAGGGCACGCGAAGCGAGGGAGGGTGGTTTCACTTTTTAAAGGCTTGAGCGCCGACAGTAGAATATTTGCCCGCTCTGTCAGGGTTATGGGGTTAACAAACTTTGATACCAACCTTGCGGCACGACTTGTGGCAATTCGCCTTGGTTTTTAGTAGGGTGTTGCTCCAGCCTTGTCAAAGCCCTCCTGGCTGGTTTGGACTGGCCAATGATCTTGCCAGAGTGCAGGGCGGCCAATGACTCGGGGCCTGTGACAGGAAGTCTTGGCCGCGATCGTTCAGCAGCTCAACACGCAGGATGAGAGGAGCTCATGGGATACTTCCAAGTGAGCGGGGTCCCAAAACTCATGAGACTAAGGGTCCACCGCATAGGAGGCTCCCCTGGCTGGAAAGCAAAGCTGTTTCCCTTTTTGGTTGATAAATGCTAGTGAGGGCGTGTACGACCCGGTACACAACTAGCCCGGTAGAACCAAAGGTCAATGGGTTTTGACCCCATGGTCCAAAAGGGACGCGCTAGGTTTGGGGTGTTTGCTGGTCTCACGGTTTGCCTCCCCTGAGTTGGTCTCCCAATTTGCCTTCCCACCAGCGACGAGGTGGGGCTTGTTCGACCGCCAGGATTGCCGAGATGCACTCAGAGCTGAGCTCCGTGCAGAGTACTCAGGCGCGCAAAATGTCCATCGCCAGAGTGGGCATCTTTTCAGGGTCATTTGTCCTTTTTGGTTGTTTTGGTGAACAAATAGATGGCCCTGGCTTGCCTGGTGGTTTAATCATCTACCACGGCCATCTATTTCCCCTCAAAGGACACCTATGTTCAGGGTACGGACCGTTGGGTCGCTTTCAGGGGAAACCAGAAAGAACATCAACCCACATTTTTGTGTCCCATGTTGAGGGGATTGCCACACGAGCAGAGAGCTGAAGGGCATTCAGGAATCAGGTTTGTTTGGAGCTGAAGATTTTGATTGGGAGATGAACCTTCTTCTTGTGCAAAGGGGGTGTGTCCATTCTAGGGGACCCCCAAAATGAGTGGTTGACCCCAAAATGGGTGGTTTTTGTCCTGGTGCCATGTTAGACTGTTGGTTTTGGGAAGGCTGTGGGAGACCCATTCTCATTGTGCTTTTGGGAAGTCAAGTAAGTCATCTTGTCGGGGCTTAGCGAGTTGGTTTAGCATTTGGCTTCGGCTGGACGAGTGACCGCCACGTAGATCAGGAAAAGCACAGAAGGAATTGAGAAGCTTCTGATGGGCGGTACATTTCGAGTCAAACACCAAACATGAACAGCACGTACCTCAAAGCCATGTAATTGATGGCATTTGGCGGCTGCTCCGTTTCTGGTTGGGCATTTGCCAAAGCCTCAGGAAACTCAGCTTTGTCTTGAAAAAATATCAAACTTCCTTCTGCTTTCCTTCAAGGAAGACTGAATCACTCCCTCTTGGGGGGTGGGTCAGACTCTGTGCCCACGGAAAGCAAATGGACAGTGAAAGGAGAGTGAAGGGAAAGTGAAAGATAGACCCTATATTCAATGGAGGTGCACAGTGACAGGGTTTGTTTGACACATAGCGATCCCCGAGTAAAAGACCTACATGGCGAGCACACCATAACACCGGTAGATTGTTGGACAGTGGGTACTATGAGGTTTAGACATGTTCACAAGACAAGCTGTGTAGTGACTTCGCCTCTGTGAGAGGCATCCCCTAAAGTGCAACCAAACAAATGGAAACACACTGTCCTTGTGTTCAACAGCGCCAAGACTGGATGGATTTCCTGCAACCAGTCCCTTTATCCTTCTGTTCAGATGCCCATTCCCGCACATCCCTTGCTTGCATTTGGGCCAGGCGGGCAGGTGGTTTTGGATGTACTCTTTAAGGCAGCCGGTTGTTCGGCGTTTTTGAGGGCGCTAAACTTTGCTCGAGCTAGTTTCCCTCCAAGAACCAGTCAGAGAACTGTTCCCCAGGCGTGCGTCGCGCAGCTTCATGAGGCTGGGAGGGGGGGTTCGGGGGGGGGGGGGGTGGGGGAGTTGGGGAGGGGGTTTAGCAGGCAGAACAGTTTCCAGGTTTGCTGTTGGGGGTACCCTCTTTCCAACAATCATGGAAGTGCACAAAGGGGTTCCCCAAAAGGAAAATAGTCTTCCAAAGCTCCCCCCTGTCAACTTCCATGATTGTTGGAGGGAGGGTACCTTCGATTCTTTTCTCGCGGCTCTCTTCCGCTGGCTTCTCGAAGCGAAGGGGCTGGATCTAGTTAGCGTCTGATTTTGACAAGGGGGGCTGGCTTCCCAACATGGCGTTCTTCAGCTACCCAAAAGGGCAAGGCAAGGCGACCGAACGGATCAAAGAAAGGGTTAGCTGGGGAGCATGGTTTGGGGCACGTGTTGTCACCCCTCGAAGGCGAGTTTCCTCTAGTGAGCAAGCAGCACCACGCCATGTTTGTGCTGTTGGGGCGCCCCTTGGTTTCAAAAGAACATCCCATGGAAGCCGGAGAGCTATCTTTAGGGGTGCCCCTTTTTGAGAGGACCTGAATGGTTGAAGGCAGGAGAACAGCCCACACCCCCCCACACCACACAAAAGGCGACGCAAGAAGCCCGGATCTTTGCCGTAGGTCTTGGGTAGACTCTGGTCATACCAGGTGTTGATGACTCAACTGGGTCCGGTGTGTGGGCTTTTTGAGGATGGCCCTTGCAGGGCCTGTCTCAAGGGAGGTTAAGGGGAATCAAAGCGAAGGTTTTGGGCCTTGGCAAATCCAAATGAGCCCCAGAGGTTCATCTCATGTTGGTTGTTGTGGCCAACAAATCCCTTTGCTTCTGGTTGTTAGGGATGGTCATAGACCTCGAATTGTAATTCAGACATGACCATGGCCCACATGCGAGTTTG